TTTTCTGATTTGTGTGTAGAGTTCTGAGAGTATGAGGCATGCTTTCAGAAAATGTGTATAAACAATCGAGAAGTTTATCTGTCTGTGTCTGTGTCTGTGTCTCCTGTGTATTTCCCTGCATTGTATCTGTGTGTACATGTGTTAAATGTGGCATCTCAGATATTTTCCCTCGTTAAAGCTACAGCTGCAGAGTCGCACGTGCGAGTGTGTTCACGTTTACATTTTTTTACAGAGCAGCTGTAAACAAACGGCCTCCCCCACCCTCCCGTCTGTCTGCGTTTGGTCTAACTTTAAGAGAGACATACAGGTCAGTCTATACTTGCATCAGTGTTATTACGCAGGCTCTGTTATCTTCATGTGTGAATTTAAAACACAGTGTTTGAACAGATGGAGAACTTCTGCACGTCTGGTCTGTGAGACTAAAAAAATGCTTCATATTTCACATCCTCTTCTTCTTTTGCTGTCCACAAAGATGTTTCCTCTCAGGTAATTGTTGTATTTCTCTTTATAACTCATTTCAAAGCCATATATACAGGAACAGGTGGTTTTTAATACTGAAAAAGAAGATGTTCTTCATCCTTTTTAAGCTATTTTTTTATTCTTTGCCTTAATGGAAAAACATCATGAGTTTGAGGAAAGTTGTGAAGAATAAATTATAAATGAATTTCATTACTTTGACTATTTCATTACTGTAAGACCTTTTAAAGCTAACAGGTACAAATTTCTCAGCTGTTTCTGAAGCAGATGTGATAATTAAAGTTTTTTTTCCTTTCATGTTAGAGGAAGAGTCGATGTTCTTCTTGTAGCCCAGTTTCACAAACCACACCCACTGTCTCTAGATCCTCGATTCAGATATGGAAACACTCCCTAAAAGACACTTTAACAGGGAGAAAAAACAGAAGAGACGTCAGACCTCAACCTCTTCTCCACCGTGGCGATCTGGAAGAGGAGAGACTACAAACACGCAGTTCAATATATCAGGAGGATATACTTATATATGTGTATATCTCAGCTGAATACAGTGGCAATAATTCCTCTCTCTCTTTACTCGGTTTGCTTTACTGATTCTTACCTCCAGTACAACTCTGCTCTCTCTCAGAGACAATGCAGACCCTGAGGGATGGGAAAGAGAGAAGCTTGAATTCTAGGTCACGCAATGATGGTGACTTTGAGTTTCACAAGGACATTTGATCTGCAGCCAGAACCTCTGTTCACTTCGACCATCTCTCTCTCTCTCTCACGTGAAGAGTAATATTAAAACCATTTGTGCTTTTGAAGCTTGTCTGCAGGTTCTTTATAAAGTCTAAAATCAAATGATCTGAATCTTAAATATGGTTCTGACAGGTCTTTAAAAAATAAAGCATTTTTGCTTTTAATGGTGTTTTTGGGAAGTAATTATATTGATCGTGCTGTAACAACATACAAAACAAAACCTACATGGAACCAATACTGATTTTCCTTCATGTCTTTTACCTTTTTTTTGCCAGTTTAGATGTAAAATAGTTAATTAAAGTTAGTTAAATTCATCAATAATGGTCCTAAATTGGCCGTACCTTCAGAAAGTTGTGTGATTGAAGCAGTTAATGCAAATTCAACTGATCCCTATAAATTCTACACAATTACTTCATCCAGTTACTGCAACTTTTCTACATATTTAGATTAGATTTTGACTTTATTGTCATTGCACAAAGTACTAAGACAACGAAATGCAGTTTACCATCTAACCAGAAGTGCAAAAAGCAGTAAAGTGCAGAGTAATGTGCATATGTACTAGGATATAAAAAATAGATATATGAATATACGAGCAGGATATTTACAGTATGAACATTAACAGAATGAACAGAGTGAAGTGAATACACTCAGATATATAAGTATATATATGTATAGATTAATTAAATTAATGTACAGTATGAAGAGTATTAGCAGTGATTATATAGTGCGGATGTAAGTGCAAGTATTAAATTGGTTGTCATTATATACAGATATAAATACACTATAAGTAGATATGTACAGTATAGACAATCTGTAAATTGGACCCATCGATGCCTAAAATCATCACAACATGCATCAAAATCTTTTAGAAAAGCTGTGAAATCCGACATTTTAGGCCACAACAATCCCCAAAAAAACTGCTGCAAACTCCTGGAAGAACTGAATGTGTCTTAAAAACTCTTAAATTTAACTTGCAGAAAGTTCTTGTGCTCACTCACACTTTCTGGGAACCTGTGGCTGTAAACCGACACTGCACAGAGGCTCTGGGTGGAAGGACGAGATGCAACAAATAATGAGCTTTATATGTGAATGAAGGTGATTTCTGTTTACAGTCTTTATGCGAACACACATTAAAACATGTCAGTTACACACACATTCTCTAAAAAGTGTTAAAAAATTCCTTTAATGAGGCAAATTGCAGCGTGTTACATAATATTAGGAGCAATAATCACCCAGATGTGTTGTTAAACAGGCAGTTAGATTAACAGCTGCATAGAGATGAGATATGACTGAATGTTAACGGGAACTTCAGAGATTCTTCCATCAATCTGTCTGTTTCCTCTATCATCCGTCGTGTTCTGGGTGGTGGGAGCTGGAGTTTGTATCCCTCCTGAAACCAGATGGAGAGGCTTTATATTATTATTATTATTATTATTATTATTATTATTATTACATGTTCTCCTTTCAGTAACATGAAGAAGCTGCTTGTATCCATACAAATGTTCAACAAACTGATCGACCAACAGAATTACTCCCTTTGTACTAAAAGCAGCTAACGCACTTAGTTATGAGTCGGCTTCTTCTTCTTCTTTCCATCGATGGAGTTGTTGCCCCCCCCCCCCAAAGCAAACCCTTTGATGCAGTTGCTAGGCAACCTCTCCTCTCTTTCTCTCTCCGAGCAGCCAGTGAGCTCGTCCTGTCAGATGGAGTGAATGATGTAAGTCAGCTGTAACAGATTTAGAGACATCTGCACGTCACACTGAGTGAGGCTGAGTCGTTAGTTTAACATTCATATTATTACTACTTACTAAAATACGTGATTGCTACCCTTTATTCATGGAAATAAAAGCTATAATTTACTCATTTCTAAGTGTGTCTGTAGCATACTGCACTGTTTAATTAGGATTATCTGTCTAGGAATAAAGAATAAAATGTCTTACTGTGTAAATGTCTGCAATAAAAAGAATAATATTGTAGGTGATGCTCCAGAGAAACTGTCAAATACACTTAGTCGCCAGTTTATTAGGTACACCTCCAACCCAGTGCAGCCCTAATAATAATAAATAATAAATAATAAATCCTGCCTTCAGATTCAGAGAAGTTTAACTTTGGTGTTTATTCAGGTGAATCTGATAAACCGCCAATAAAAACATCCTTATTATTGTTATTACTGCTACTGTCACTTAACTACAACATCCTGATCTCCTTTCTTTGTGTGTGTTTACTCCCATTTGTTTATAGATCATAGAGTCGCTGCATCGTCCTCCAAATGTCAAGAGACACAAAATCCAAACAGATGTTATTAATCTTATAAAATATTATTATTGTCTCTATTTTTATCTTTATTTATATTTTTCTATCTTTAATGCTGATTCTTATGCACCAAAGTACAGAGACAATAAACCTGATTCTGATATTGTCTGATCACTGCTCTTGAGTTTTAGACCCATAAACAAACATTAGAACAACAAACAAACAAACACTCCCCATTTAAAATTCAATCAAAGAGAAAATAAAGAAGAAAGCGGCACTAATAATCAGAAATTAAAGAACATAATTAATGGAATTTAATTATTACATTGCTTATAATACATTATATTACTATTTTTATTTATATAATATCTGAATATAACTTCAATGTAAATAATTAAATGTAAATTGATCTGCTGCCTTGTTGTTTTCTTGTATTGGTTTGAGTGAGTTTCTCAATCAATTAACAATATTATCAATAGTTATAATACAGACTTTATTCTCCAAAATGTAATCGATTAAAAATCCATTATCGATCACTGGAGCGCGCTCCTTTCCTCCAGGTGTGTGAAGAAAAACCAAAAACGACGCATCTAAACTTCCTGCTGCGCCCTTCAGAATAAAACTTCCCACAACAACTTAAAGGTTGAAATCGTTTAGAGAAATTTGGAAATAACAGCAGAAACAATATGAAGAATAAAAAAGACTTTATGCGGTTTTAAAAACATAAAAACACGTTTCCAAAACCTCCCCTCGAGTCTCACTAACCCACCATGCTCTTATTTTGAAACAAAGAAACCAGCGACTTTCCGGCCTGGCTGTGTCAGAGGTCTCCCAGCTTGATGCAAGAGGGTGGGTGGGGTGGGGGGGTGATGGTGCTGTCGACAGCCCTGCAGCCTTTTAGATAAATAAAGCAAGCCCCCTTTATTTAACCCGGGTTAAATAACCGTGCCGGAAGATGGTGGCCAAACAAAGGATCCGCATGGCGAACGAGAAACACAGCAAGAACATCACTCAGAGAGGAAACGTGGCCAAGACGCTGGTGAGCCGTTCACTGACAGCCGGGAGACAGCATGACATTAGCCCAGATAGGTGACGTTCACTCCGGTATGAATACAGCAGCATGATGGGGATGATGAGGAGGAGGAGGATGAGGATGAGGAGGATGAGGGTGAGGAGGATGAGGAGGATGGATGTCCTGTTTATCACACGTGTCTCACTCCTTTAATGTGTCATCGTTTTTGGACCCCCCCGACCTGAGCTGGTTGATTAAAATGGGATTTATTCAGACTGTGGAGGGGGTGAGGGGGGGTTCGTTACCGCCCTGACGGCTCGTTACTTTGTTTTTTGGAGTTACATTAGTGAGAGGAAGGTTTGTTTGTATTCACACTGGGGAAACAATGATCAATACAAGACAAACTGAGGGAATATTGGTTTTATTAAAGCAAAAATAGACAGAAATTCACTTTTTAAGACTCTCAAATGTGAGTATTTAATTATTTTATCAACTATTTCTAAGGAATGCTGCTGGCTGAACTAAAACAAAACTCATAATATCAAGACTTAAAGTTGGGCTGTGAGCAGGAGAGAGGCCACCACAGTGTTGGTGCCAGATTGAACACATTAAAGATAATATATATATATATAATTTAATGATCTGTTATTGCCACATTTTATAGGCTTAAATTCAGAGTTATAATGTCTCTAAAAATCACTAACTTTAGGGGTGGAGATCAATAAATAGTAAAGTCTATGAGGCGCTATCAGTGAGAGGTTACACAGTCAAACACTTTAAACAAGGGAAATCTGCTCTGTTTGGTATCGTATGAAGGTACGTTTGGTTGTAAATCCAAATACAGAGCGAGCAGTCAGTACAGAGTCTAATAGAGTAACGGTTAATGGAAATAATAACAAAATAATGGTTGTGTTGATGTATTACAAAGACAAAACACATTTATTTGGAGAATATACTGAAGATTTGGAGCTAAAACTATTTATATTTAATGCTTTACTTATTACATATAACAGTCTATAATGTCCTTTTCTCTGTAAAGTCTTCTAAAGATCATTCAGCCGCTGCCGTCCAAAGCAGAGCGTCTCCAACACACAGTGAAGATCCCTTTTCCCTGTAATTAGATTTAATGTGAGGGGCCCACAGGGGAAGATTAAAGCCGTACTGGGAGATAATAATCACACTCGCACTATTTCACCACAAAGACTTTGAGTTCAGCCTCCGTTTGTGGCGCTCAGTAACCTTGTGCAGCCTCTGTCCTCAAAAAAGAGGTTTAAACAGGAGCTCAGGAGTCAAATACGGAGGCTGCTCAGGCTCAGTTTTCACTCTGTAACAGGACAAACAAACCAACAAACCTTCCTCACCAACAGCAGACAACAGGGGGTCCCCACACATCCTGGAAAACCTGAAAAAAAATGGGGAAATCTGCACATTTAGAGTCTAGTTTTCCAGGAAGGTTGATTTAAAATGACCAAAGATCCTGGAAATGACCCCAGTCAGATTACGATAAATGCTTCTTTTTTCATTGTCAGTTAAGTTAAGAGCTGTTTACACACCACTCACATCAACACAGAGAGCCTGTTATTGATTATTTATTGGTTAATAGTCGTTAAACGTACGTGTATTATACCTTCTGCCTCTTCTCTTAAGAGGCTAATCGGTTGGATGGTGACTTTTCTGTAAAATAAAGGCTGCATAAATAACTAAATAAATGCTCCATAGACAAAACTCCTGGAAAAGGTCCTGGAAAATGTTTTCTTAAAGACAAACACGTCACATGTCCTCAGCTGCTGATGCGTCCTCTCTACGTCAGTCTGAACTGACTGACTCTCAATTTGAAAAACTGCTTACTCAGCTACTTTCAGGTGATGATTAGACCACAGAGTCGTTATTGGGGACATTTGGGGACATTTAAAGGAGCGACACCGACAACCTCGCCTCGCTTAACGATGAAAGAACAAGATAATCTGTGGTTGGCAGGTTTAAAGGAGAGAGAGAGCAGCTGTTTGTAAATCGACCCACGTTCAAGTAGTTTCACTTTTACTCTGCAGCATCTGTCACATCCTGATGTAGCAGCAATACTAATGTACGTCTGTGTGTGTGTGTGTGTTTCCCATAGCGACCACAAGAGGAGAAGTATCCTGTGGGTCCCTGGCTGCTTGCCCTCTTTGTATTTGTTGTGTGTGGATCAGGTATGACTCTCCGAAGCTCCGACCCTCAGTAACTGATTTATAAATTATATAAGTAACCAGTGTGACGTTCAGTTTCTAATGTTTGTAATTCATTTAATATTTCATGAAAAGCTTCAGAATTCAGTGAGTTAGTCGATTTTATAGTAAAGTCTGAATCTCTCAGTATTGTAGCAGATATATATAATATCATCATTTATTGTTTGCAACCAAACAACGAATAAAGGCCTGAAACGTCCTTTCTTCTAATCAACCTTTGACTTTTTCCATTAATGTTGTGCCAAATGACACTAAAAATACATTTTAAATGTGTAAAATTAGGTAGAATTGTGTTTTTATTTTAAATGTATATGAAACTGTAGTTTAAACTTATATTAAACAACTAGAATAAATAATTTTTTTAAAATAATAATGTGGATTATATTATATTCTTGGCATCATGTGGAGGACCGGAAATGGCCGTCATAATAATAATAATAATATTAAAGGGACGTGGTCTGTTGCTCTCAGCCATATTTCAGATCATCCAGAGCATCCGAATGGGGATGTGATCCAGAAGGAGCCTCCAGAGACTCCTCTTCCTCCTCCTCCTCTTCCTCCTCCTCCTCCTCCCCTCATCATGCCCTCACTGAGCCTGGCTACCTGCACCTGCACACCCCCCTCCTGCTCCGCCCGGCCCCCTTCAAGAGGCCCAGAGACTGACGCCAAAGCTTCGGATCCAGCAGACCTCAGAGAGACAGAGAGAGAGAGAGAGAAGCTCCTCCACCAACCTCCTTAACCACCTTCTCCTCCTCCTCGGGTCTCCCCGCCCTCGATCAGCGTTTACAGTGTTGCAGTCTGTGGTACTGACAGCTTTTCTATGGACAGTCTGAAACCACGCCGGCTGGAGAACATGTGTGTCTCATTGCTCACTTATGTGTGTGTGTGTGTGCGCGGTGCAGTGATTCCTATTCCTATTCCTCCACTATGTGCCATATCCGTCTGTTTAAGTATTCGTCTGTGTTACGTGAGAAGAATCTTTTTTCAAATAAATGTGGAGCATTTAGGAAGCGCCCAGTTTCACTCCTGATGCTTCTGTAGACTCGCTGCTGCCGTTTGTTGGGGTTTGAATACCGAACACACAGGAGATTATAACTTTACACAATGATCAGAGGAATGTGAAT